GATCCGCTCCCGGCCGGGGTCGATCCCTGCAAGGATCCCCTGGGATTCCTCAGCCCCCAGCTGGGATCCGGAGCCTGCGGGAACTCGGGATCCGCCGGGGGATCGGGATCCGCCGGGAATTCGGGATCCTACGGGGGATCGGGATCCGCCGGGAATTCGGGATCTTATGGAAATTCGGGATCCTATGGAAACTCGGGATCCGCCGGGAACTCGGGATCCTACGGAGGATCGGGATCCGCCGGGAATTTGGGATCCTATGGAAATTCGGGATCCTATGGAGGAGGCTCCGGATCCTCCGGGAATTCGGGATCTTACGGAGGATCGGGATCCGCCGGGAATTCGGGATCCTATGGAGGGTCAGGATCCTCTGGGAATTTAGGATCCCATGGGAATTCGGGATCTTATGGAGGAGACTCTGGATCCTACGGGAATTCGGGATCTTACGGGGGATCGGGATCCTCTGAGAATTCCGGATCCTATGGGGGAGGCTCTGGATCCTACGGGAACTCGGGATCCTATGGAGATTCGGGATCCTATGGAGGGGGGTCAGGATCCTACGGGAATTCGGGATCCTACGGGGGAGACTCTGGATCCTACGGGGGATCGGGATCCTCCGGCACCTCGGGATCCTCTGGAAATTTGGGATCTTATGGGAATTCGGGATCCTATGGAGGGGGATCAGGATCCTATGGGGGGCTGGGATCCTCTGGGAATCCGGGATCCTACGGAAATTCGGGATCCTATGGGGGATCCAGCTCAGGATCCTACGGATCCGGGTCAGGCCGGCCTGGATCCCAAGGGGGAATTGGATCGGGATCGGGAAGACCCGGATCTGGATCCGGATCGGGCAAACCGGGATCGGGATCAGGCAGACCTGGATCTGGATCTGGATCTGGATCTGGATCGGGATCGGGATCTGGTTCAGGCAGACCTGGATCTGGATCCGGATCAGGATCGGGATCGGGATCAGGCAGACCGGGATCCCAAGGGGGAGGCGGATCCGGCTCCTACGGGGGATCCTCGGGATCCTACGGGGGATCCTCGGGATCCTATGGGGGATCCTCGGGATCCTATGGGGATGATGATGCGGGATCCTACGGAGGGGATTCGGGATCCTATGGAAATTCAGGATCCTACGGAAATTCGGGATCCTACGGAGGGGATTCGGGATCCTACGGGGGCGGATCGGGATCCTACGGAAAACCAGGATCCTATGGGGGATTTGGATCCTATGGAAAACCAGGGTCTTACGGAAAACCGGGATCCTACGGGGGCGGATCGGGATCCTATGGAAAACCAGGATCTTACGGAAATTCGGGATCTTATGGGGGCAAACCGGGATCTTATGGAAATTCAGGATCCTATGGAGGAAAGCCGGGATCCTATGGAAATTCGGGATCCTATGGGGGAGGATCAGGGTCTTATGGAAAACCTGGATCTTATGGGGGAGGATCGGGATCCTATGGAGGGTTGGGATCCTATGGAAAACCTGGATCCTATGGGGGTGGATCAGGATCCTATGGAAAACCGGGATCCTATGGAAATTCGGGATCCTATGGGGGAGGATCAGGGTCGTATGGAAAACCTGGATCCTACGGAGGAGGATCAGGATCCTATGGAAAACCTGGATCCTATGGGGGATTGGGATCCTATGGAAAACCTGGATCCTATGGGGGTGGATCGGGATCCTATGGGGGATCGGGATCCTACGGAGGGGGATCGGGATCCTATGGGGGATCGGGATCCTACGGGGGGTCGGGATTCTCCGGGGGGGATTTGGGATCCTCCGGGGGATCCCGGCAGCGCCCCGGCTACAAAAACCCCGGGATCCCCTTTGTGCCGGGGCTGCAGCACCCGGCCCGGATCGGGGGGAGCTTCCCGATCCGCCGGGGACCGGGATCCGGAACGGGATCCGGAATGGGATCCGGTCTGGGATCCAGACTGGGATCATCACAGGGATCCGGTCTGGGATCCAGACTGGGATCCGGCTCGGGATCCGGATTGGGACCCGGAGTGGGATCCGGTTCGGGATCTGGCTCCGGATCCGGACTGGGACCTGGAGTGGGATCCGGTTCGGGATCCGGCTCTGGATCTTCCCAGGGATCCTCCCAGGGATCCGGGGCCGGAACCGATCCGGGATCCGGCTCCAGGGACGGGAACGGCTGCGGGGGGTGCCGGAAATAGGGGAGGGGTCCCAGAAGGTTCCGGAGGATCCCGGAAGATCCTGGAGGATCCCAGAAGGTCTCAGAGGGTTCTGGAGGATCCTGGAGGATCCCAAAGGGTCCTGGAGGGTTCCAGAGGATCCCGGAAGATCCTGGAGGGTCCTGGAAGGTTCTTGAGGCTTCTGGAGGATCACGGAAGGTTCCGGAGGGTTCCAAAGGATCCTGGAAGATCCCGGGGGATTCCAGAGGATTTTGGAAGATCCCGGAGGATTCCAGAGGATCCGGAAGGGTTCCAGAGGATTCCAGAGGATCCTGGAGGGTTCCGGGGGGTTCCAGAAGATTCCGGAGGATCCCAAATAAAAGTCTTGGATCTGCTGGTGGCCTCGTCACGGTGATGGCAGCGGGGGGGGGGTACTGGGAATACTGGGATGGGGGCACTGGGGATACTGGGGGTACTGGGAGAGGGATACTGGGAATACTGGGAATGGCATGGGGACATCACTGGGAATACTGGGAGAGGGAAACTGGG